GACTTAATAATTGCTTTTTTGCAATGCAGACTGTGAGTTCCTGCTGCACTGGAAGTCACTCTTGGCTCTGCCCTGCTGTCAGATGCCTCTCCCTCTCCTCGTGCTCCTTCCAAGGCTTGCTCGCTGCTGGCCATGCCAGGGGCAGTGCCTTGGATGAGAAGAGTGAGATTTGTTTCTCCAGGCTGCCTGTGAGTCCAATTTGCCCAGGACCCATCACTGTCTTCATCTCCTTAGAGGGTTGCTATTGTTCTTAATAGGAAGCTGCTGTTCTTGAAGATGTTTTCCAGTGGACAGCTGAGCCCTGGCCTCGCTGGGTGAGGATGGCTGAGCAGCACCCCTCCCTGTACAGCAGGAATTGTTTAGAATTGTTTATAAATAGGAGGACAAATTGACATGTTCCCATTTTCTATTCCCACCTCCTACGGTTCTTGGGAATGAGGAAGGAAGCCAATAAGAAATGTTGATGTTAGCATTTGGCATTTCAGTCAAAAGCAAAGGAAGATGAAGTGGAATGCTTTTTTTTTTTTTTTTTGGTGGGCAGAGAAGTGTTGCTGCAGAGGTAATGCCAGGCTGCTGCCAGGATTTGTTCAGTTTTCAAATTCAGGGGGAAAACAGTTGACAGTTTTTGTCTCTGAGATTGCTAAAGTGACTGAGCCAGGAAAGGAGATCCAGCAGGTTCCTGACTGAAATTCTTGCAAAATGACCTTGTTTACGCTCATTGCATCCTCTAGCATTAAAAGCCTTTAAATGCTACTTCAAAAATTCATGAGTTCAAGTGCTTTAATGGAAGCAAAGGAGAGACTTTTCTCTGTTTTGTCCTGAAAGAGCTCATGGAGAATTCAAAGGGAACTTTTAGTGTGTAGTTGTGCTGCGCCCACCCATAAAAGAGCTCTTCTCCTTGAGTTAACCTGAAGCTTTAATGTTAATTGAAATCACTGTGGGACATGTACTTTAATATGAGACTTACAAATGGGCAGCCTGTAAACCAAGGCACTAATACATCAAAGGTGAGCTTAACTTAGAATTATACACACTATGAATAGTATTTTCTAGTCTTTTCCTGCTGAAATTGTTCAATATTTTTCTATGATTTCCATTAAGGCAGAGCTAAGACAGTGCAGAAAGATTTAAAAATCTCAGTCTATAAAGACATTTATTAATTTGAGGAACATTGCCATCACGATGGTTTTTGTATCTGTTTTGTTAAATTGTAGTTCACCCCTTGAAAAATGTATTACTCTTCTACCTCCAGGATTAAATTCACAGCCTGCTTGCAGTGTGGAAATGCTGGCAGTTGCATTTGAAAGCTTCACTGGCGAGGTGTTCTCACTTAGCTGAATATGAATTCAGCTTAGGGTGCTGTGAAAGGCAGTGCACTTGGTGCTCTGTGCAAAGTGGGACATCACCACTCTCACCCATTTAGGCAGCTGGCAGGGATCTGTGCATCATTGTTCCTGTGATCAATTAGTCCTTAATGTTTCAGAGTCAGTCTATGGGAAGTGAAGAATGAGAGATTCTAAATATTAATTCCTGGAGCTGTGTGAGTATGAAGAGAGCTTTTAAGTAGGAGCCTTGAGTATTGAAAAAGTCATAATCTGAGGTAAAATGGGAGATACATTCATGCTTTTAGACCATGTTAATCCTGTAATCAACCCCTTAAATTTTCCTTTTTGTGTTTAGTACATTCAAACTTTCTCTTTGTCTCTGGAGTTAAATTTGACACTTTGTAATGCAGACCTTTCTATAACTTTTTAATCTGGCTTCTTTTAAGAGTAGCACAAAGAATTTTCAGGATAATTATTTCCTTTAGGTTTTGATCTTAGTTTATGTCCTCAGAGATATAAAAGCAGACTAAGTGTAACTAATGCAAAAGAAAAGAAAGTCAGAATACATGCAACAGAAACAGGCTGCCAGAAGTAACATTTTAGTTTTGAACAAATTCACAAACAGCATCACTAACCACACTACACCTTTTCCTCCTCTGCCTCAATGTAGCATTTACCTGGAAATTGTACTGCCCTGTAGCTCAGAGCAGTTGGAGATGAGTCTGGATTTTGTGGCAGCTTTAGGGTTCAAGAACCTCTGGAGTTGTTTCTTTCCATGCTGGTCAGGAGTTATCTAAAGCTACAGCCTGAAGGTAATTTTGGGTCATTGACAGGGATTCTTCTGAGAGCCTCGCTATGGTGCTATCCCTGGAGTGGGAAGGGAGTCCAGCAGTGTGTGCCTGGGAAAATTGTCATGCAATTCTGAAGTTCTTCTTCTGGGAAATGTTTGGTTTAAGAGGTGTTATCGATACTTTATGACAAATGAAATCTTCATTTGCTTTATCTGTCAAAGAATGCACCGACTGCTCAGCTGGAAGAAGGAATATTTAATTGCAGTCTCCTGGAACTTCTATGCAACAGCATCATGAGTTGGGTTTTTCTAGGCATTCTCTTTTTCTCCTGAACCTATAAGTAGTTTAGATATACTGAATGTTAGATAAAGGCAAGATAAATGTATTTCAACAAATTAAAAAAAAAGCCCCATACTTCATGCTTGTATTGATGGAATAGCTGAGCTTTCATCATCAAAGTTAGGTCAGTTTAAGTAAAAAAGGCAGTGGAATTTTATTCTGAAATGACCCCCTTAAATCCTAAAGAGTAGCACTATGGTGTAGGTTTCTAATGCTGGCTGATCAAATTATCACCGATTATAGGCAATACTGAGGATTTTTTTTTAATCTGCTAGCATAGAAATGTCAAAGCAGGTTCTCCAAGCAAAACACTATTTTCATACCCATAAGCACTCCATTTTTTGAGAACCAACTAGCTATTATTGTGCTCTCTGTTGATAATATCTGTCTGAAGTCAGGAAGTGTTCTGCCAAATGATGGGGGCGATTTAAAGGACACAGACACCAGTGGAAAGAATGGTCTTATTTTACTGCGAATTTTAAAGGAACACAAAAGTAAAATGATACATCCAGTAAAACTGCAGGCTTGGCTTTAGCAACAAGCAAAAGTGAGAAAGGTAATGCACCTAATCATTACTATACAAGAGAAAGGATAGTGATTGATAGAGATACATCAGCAATTGCCTAAATACTTCATCATCCAGAGCCTGCAGTCCTGGGGTGCCCTGTTTCACAGCAAGGACCTGGAGAACCCTTCCTGGCAATTGAGAAAATCCTACACAGTGCTTCCACACACAGGTGAGGTCTGAAAATGCACCCCAAAAGTGGGTCCAGCGTTGATAGGTGCAAAGCAGCAAGTCAGAGTGGCTTGGTTGTATTTTATCACAGAAACTCCTGGATCTGATGGTACACTTCCCAACCAGGAGGGACCAGGGCTTGGCCAGGGCCCTCACCTTGGCTGGGAGGGTTTCCCATAAAATACCCTACAACCAAGTCTCTGTTCATGTCAGTTGGGAAAGATTTTTAAAATGCTAGATTTCTTGCAGGTAACTGCACAAGGTTACATGGAAGTTTCTAAAGCAGTCGTTTTGGTGTTAAACAGATAACATCAGCGTCTCAGTCATGTATTTTTAGCTAAATAATATTGATGGTGTCAGCCACACATTGCCCAGGGTCCATCCTGTAAGTCAGCTCTGGCTGAGCCTGCTGACCTCCCACGCCATCAGAGCAGTTTTCAAATGCTCCTGCAACGCCCAGCCGTGTCCGCAGGAATTGCTACTGCTGTGTGGTGGTGTTTGCCAAACCTTGTGGTTTGGCACCATGTCCCCGGTGTCGCTTTTGCTGATGTGTTATGTCCCGCACGCTGCTCAGAGGTGGCTTTCCAACCTTGGCCCAGGGCTCTGCAGCCCCAGGCTGAGAGGGATTTCTCCAGCTCTGCTGAGCTGCTGTGTGTGTGCTCCCGATGCAGTGCAGGCAACATGCACCAACCCTGCCCAGCGCTCTGACCTCAGCTAACACCTCTGAGTTGGCCTAAAATAAGGGATAACAGAACGAAGCTGATACTCCTGAAGCAGACAGAGGGGGAGTATAAGGGGATTGTTTTGTTCTTTCAAGTGCAGCAAAGATTAAATTTAAAATACATATTTTTAAGCACATGCAGTCACATCCTTGAAAAGTGAGTATGAAATGTCACAAAACAAAAGCAAGAGTGATTTCTACCCAGGATGAACTAAGCCAAAAAGGACATATATATATATATTTGTAGTTAAATTTAGAAGTGTGTTAGAGTTGGTACTAAATACTATGCAAAGTGTAAGGCATGAAGAACTGTACTGACAATGTGGATGTGTGTGAATACCACCGTGTATCTGTGTGTATGGTGTATGTATGTGCATGTATATATATATATATACATTTGTGTGTGTATGTATGTGTGTATATATATATATACATGTATATTATTTTCCTAATAGTGTTCTATATTTATTGGCAAGTTATTTGCAAAAATAATCTTTAAATTATGAAGGTGTTTATGTTGGGGTTAGAAGTCACGTAATTCTTAATTCTGTGCTTCACCTATTTATCCACTCTGGCATTGTTAACTGTGTTAATAGTCACCCCAGAGGGACAATAGTCACAGCCCAGGGCAAGCAGTGATATTGTACCCATCATTTGAAGCCCTAAAGAAAGAATTCCCAGTATTTCTAAATTAGGCATTTAAGACTTTCTTGGGCCTTCCTGCACATCTGCTCTCCGAAGCCGATTGCAGTATATCATGCAGCATATTTCAAACCTTTTCCTGTCACCTCCTTAATGCTGGGACACAGAACTGCTTGCGCTGTCTGTGCCCTTGGAAGCTTTCTTGCCTTCTTTAGAGGTAAGTATAGCTTTTAATGTTGGTACCAGTGAATTCTTCTCCATGGAGAAAATAAAACAGAAAAGGGAGAAGTGCAAGAAGAGATATTTGAGTCAGCAATGAGGTAGAACAGCACTGATTTTTGTGCTTATTTTATTTATGTCATTATGGGTTTATTAGTGCACTCTTGAAATACATTGTAGAATAGCAATATTTAAAATACTGCTCTTTCGTTTATCTTTTGTTGCAGAGGTGACTTTTTTGCAAGGGCCTGACTTTTTTTCAACCAGTTTGTATTGCCTGTCAAGAATTTTCATGTTGACTCTTGGAAAACTGCTGCAGAGTCTTCTGTTTACTATTCAGTGCTGTTTTCATCTTCCTTTAGCAGGTAAGCACATGTTTCTTCAATACTAATTCCAACTGGAAAATGTTTCCAAATTCAGACACCTGGAGAGTGCATTTTGTTGGGCTCCATAGGGTTAACATCTCTCCTCCAAAATTTCTGCAACAGGAAAATACCTGAATAATAGTGCAGTACTTTGGAGTCTTCAGCATCAGTGCATGTCAGTCTGCACCCAACTAGCTTTAATGCAACTCAAAAAATGCTATGCATGAACTTTCAGTTGGGAATCTATTTAGAGCTGAATCAGGATTGTGAGTGAGCAATATAGAAAATTGTTTGAATTGTTGCTGCCTGAGAGGAGCCTTTAAATAACTTTATGTCCTTGAGGAAAAAAAGCCCTGAAGAGAAGAGCCAGAGTGGGTGATGGAGAAGTTGGGGTGTCATCCCCCCCAGTGCCCTCAAGCTGAAGGAGAGCATTCAGCTACTGTTCACCAAGATCACAGTCAGTGTTGCAGAAATAGATTTAGCTGCCCTGGCTGTGCACTAAAGCAACAAGGGATTCTCAAATGACCCATATATGATTGATATATATATATATATATATATATATGTGTGGGTGTGGCAAGAAGGGACACTGAACAGCTGAGCTGTAGTAATGTCTTACACAGCTGCGACTTTTCTGCAGGGGGACCTGGTCAAACCCTTAATATTCATTGTTAGAATTGGATTTGTGTTTGAGATTCAAGGTTTTTAGGAAGAAAAAGATTTTTAATGATTTCTTGAAATCACTTTTGTTAAATGCTAGTCATCAAAGGAGAGTGTGCATGGTGGTGTGCAAGTGCATTTATGTAAAAAGAAAGTAAATGTGCTTACTCTGTCTTTGATGTTGTTCTGTTTTCCTTTTAACATTATCATCACACATAGGAACTCTTGGTTTTTTTGAAGCAACTTAGAAATTTTCCCAGAAAACAGTTGTCTGTTTCCTCCTGCAACAGGATTTTCTTTCTGAATGTATACAGATTTATTTACTTAATCACTAAACTGCAGAATCTAACCTTTGCCATGGCTTCAAGCTTTTTCCTTTGTTTTTTTAAGGAATGAAGTATTTTCTAAAGGGTGTTTTCTAAGGAATTAGGTCTTTCCTAAAGGGTTGGCTCTTGCAAACTTTTATTTCTATTACTTTGGTAGTAATGCATGCTTTCTTCCCAATCAATATGACATGGTAATAGTGGGAATTCCTGTTCTTTGGGATTTCATTGCAGTGATAGCTGCACTTTCCTACAGTGTTACTTGGTTTCATCCCAGGCTGCAGGAGTAAATGGTCCCCTATTAACTGCAGTTTGCCAGAGCCTTGCTTGGCTCTGATCATAGTCACAGTGTTGTGTTGGAAGGGACCTTGAGGACCATCTTGTTCCAGTCTCCCTGCCATGGGCAGGAGCACCTTCCACGAGACCAGGCTGCTCCATGCTGTGTCCAGCCTGGCCGTGAACACTTCCAGGGATGTGTGCAACGCTGGAACCTACAGCAGAATTTATCTTGTGCTGCAAACAGTGCACAGATGTTTCAAAGTGAGAGGAAAATGAGCCCATTCATTTTTACTCGTGCTGCACTTCTTGTCCCCTAGGATTTGGAGGCTGCTGTTTAGGTACTGCCATTCTGAATTCCCTGACATGTGAGTTAAGGATGTCAGTAGCAGAGAGGGAATATTGAACAATGGGAGCCAAGTCATGAGGAGTATGGGCATCACTTTTCATAAGTGATTCATCTGGAGAAGGTGAGGGAAGAATTACTCAGGCAGGAAATCCCTGCTATCTCTGCCTGCATTATTTCAAGCATACCCAAAAAAATTCTGCTTCTGAACTTTATAACCCTCCCTAAAACAAATACCCACATCTGCTTTTAGCTAAATTAACAATCTACCAACTAATCTGCTACTAAACATGAGTTCTGTCAGCTGCAACTCCAAGTATTCCTAGGAAGATTCAGCCACTGCCAGCAGAACTAAAAGATGATTTCATGCTTCACTGGAATATTTTAAACATTCACAGTGTACAACCCGTCTTTGGTTTGTTCATTGTTCAACTTTTTATTCTTGGTATTCTAAATAACTCAGAATAAATAGAGACATGTGTAAGCCCTCTGTTCTTAGTGCAGCATTTGCAAACTATCCTATTGTAAACTGTTTATAGATTGCCATGTAATCTGTAACGTTATTGTGATGGACAGTCAGATCAGAGTTCCCACCATGCAAGGAGACATTATTAAACATTACGCCTTGAGCAACTTACCAGCACCCTGACAGAGTGTTTTCTGACTGGAAATATCAACATCTTATGAAAAATCACTGCCTTCCCACTGCAAACCCAGTATTTTATAACCACTTGGGTTTTTTTTCTTTGCAGAAAAATATTACTTGGCTGGCAATATAGTAAACTTTAAGCAATGCTTACAGTTTTATTGTATTCAAATTTTATATTCCAACGTATTTTTGTAGTCACAGGTATTACTTTCTCTTCATTATGGTATGCTGTAATCTAAAGATCTTAGGAGTATGGCTGTACTGTAACAGGGCCATAAAAAACAGGTATTGAAGGCTTCAGGCCCCCATTAGTTTACATCTGCAGACCACAGCCTTTGAAAATGTTTGTACATAGGCAGTATATGTACATAGGTTTGTACGTTATCTTCTGGTTGTGTCCTGAGTTACTTCATGGAAACCTCACAGGTTTCAAATCCAGCACATGCAGAAGCCCTGGCATGTCAGGGCCAATCAGAAATGGCAAAGTGACACATTTGCTGTCCTTAGGAGGAGACAGAAGTCAGTAGGAGAGTGTTGAGATAACGAAGGAGGGTTGAAGGGTTTACTGTGTCACAGAGGAACACTCATTATTCCTGGCAAAATTGTACCTCTTTGTTTGCTCCATTTTCCACCTCCTCCAAATACAAAGAAGAGATTCAGGCACTATTTTAATGTATTATTCCATTATTGTTCACTGCTGGAGCGTGGAACTGTGAGCTGAAGTCTCCCTAAAATTTCATTTGATTCCCTAGCCAGAAGATGTTTTTAGCCAGTCTTTCTGTTGAGGCTGTCTCATGAAAGCCTTTGTCCTTTTCCTCTCAATCTCTCAATGCCTTTGGTCAGCAGCAGATTCTCCTAGAAACACTAATTTAATATCTCCCAACTTGAAATACCAGCTGAGCTTGTACCAGTGATAGCTCTCAAAGATTTCTTCATCCAGGGTCAGAGCATGTACCTTTCATTCCTCCTCCATTTTCTCCAGGAGGACATGTCACATCACTGAGGTCCAAATAATCCTCCAGAAGTTAAATGATGAGGATTACATTCCACCTATGTGATAACTCAGATGTTGCTATCATGTTGTGTCTGACTGAAGACCGAGACTGGCTAATGAGCTGCAGTGACAGTCAAGAGTTCTTCCAAATCTTGCTATGGAGTCTAAAAATTCCATCACTTTGCCCTTTGAGATAAATTATTTCCCAGAGCATCCTGAGAAAGCACTCAGAATGTGATACATACTTGAGATATCATAGTACTGGACTTGCTGACCTGGTAAAATGAAGATTTAAGGGTACAAATGCTAAATAATTTGTGCAATTAAGGCTTTATATACTCTAGCTGTTTCCACTGCCCAATATCTCAGTCTGAAGGGACAATCTCAGCATGAGAAAGTGTAAAGGATGTATGTATGAAGGATGGAAAAAAATCCCCATTTTTAAGTTCCTATGAAAGTTTCATCACACTGAGTGCTGGAGAGTCCAAGTGCACAGATAGATGTTGCAATTTTGGATTGTCTTTCAATCTCTCTGGCAATGTTTCCATTCAGAAAGATTTCCTTGTGAGACAAAGGGAGAATGATGAGTTTTCTGAAAGAATCCATTTGTACTGAACACTAGGCTTTTGTTGATTCTTGCAGGACTCCAGAATTTGTTCCATGCAAATAACAGCAGTGTAATGCCACCAGAGTCAAAGATTCCCCAAGTTTGCAGAGATGGCTCATGCATTGCTCAGGTCTGAAGTAACCTTCCTGATTTGGGCACAGGAGGGGACAGGAATCTCAGGGCACAGTTCATATTTCTAGCCATGCTCAGAGAAAGCATTGCACAAGCAATATCCTGGCTTTAAGGGAAAGACAAGATATTACTTGTAACTAACAGCTGCCCACCAGTGCAGTTCATTGGAAACTCAGTGAGTTGCTGCAGTGGGTTCTTTATCTTGGTGACCTTCCAAGGCAATCAGAGCCTTCTTGGAAGACCTTGAATCAGATATAAGAAAAATAGCACTGTGCAGCACATGCTTCTGATCTCTCAGGGTTCACAGATTTGGAAGGCGTGGTACCATGTATAACTGTAGAAGACAGCACTGACGTACTGTAGCTGCTGCAGTAAGGTCATGGTGTTCTAGGAGCCAATTAAAATTATGCAATATGGCAATTCAAGAAAGAATTGACCGAGAGCTCAGGAAGGCAAAAAATCCGTGTGTATTATAGGCTTAATTACTTCATAAGATTAATTTTCCACTTTCTCATGATCTTGTAATAAGAGCACAAAGTATTTAAAAGTATTTTATTTACTTATTGATCAGAACTCTTGAGACCTTGCTGTCTAAATCAAAATTTAAGATTTGACTCCTGTTTAAGTACAAAGTTGTGAGCTTGTCTTGGAGTATTCACTGTTAATTCACTGAGTGGGCAACAGTAATATTTGAAACAGGTACATTTGGCACTCAGAACCCCATCTCCTTTCCTGGGGGCATGTGAGTGGAAGGTGGTAATGCCACAGGTCATATAATTCAGAACACTGGTCCTCACTTCCTCCAGCAGAACCATTGCATTTTTTTGGACCACAGTCTTTAATTCCCAGAACCTTTATAGAGATAACTAGGAGCAATACTACAAGCCAGGAGAATTGATTTATCATGGAAAGCTTGATATTTTGGATGGGGGTCTAAAAGGCCTATTCCTGTCCTAATTCTCTCCTAGTGCCTTTATCCTGAAGAACAAGACAAAAAAGATTTAGCTGTCCAC